ACTCTAAGTTCTTAGTATCGCAGAGGTCAAACAAGACATCCCGTCTGTTTGTATAGATAAGAAGAATATTTACGGACTTCCCATTGGACTCAGATTTCAAGGAACAACTGAAGGGGCTGTAGTCAATTCAGACAAATAATCGATCGGATAACCCCGTGGATTTGATGAACCTGTCCAACTAATGATGATGCCTTAGAAAGAAAGAAAAATATGAATTCATCATCCCACTAAGGCAGTGTTTCTCAACCTTGGCAACTTGAAGATGTCTGGACTTCAACTCCTAGAATTCCCCAGCCAGCGAATGCTGGCTGGGGAATTCTGGGAGTTGAAGTCCAGACATCTTCAAGTTGCCAAGGTTGAGAAACACTGCACTAAGGCAATTGATGGCAGGTGGTTCCTTTTCTTCAGCATGATTTAAATGTAAAAGCTACTTCCTGTTAGCATTACCATGGTTCTTTGATGGGCTAGAGGGGTCATTGTGGTACGTATGTGAATGAGCCAGTGAGTATTTATATGCAGAATACTGAAACGCATCTACTGCACACCAGATGTAACCATCTAGATTAGTCATTGGCATCATTGGGTGCAAAATTCTTTAGAGTCTTGTTTTATTGAGTAACACCAGTTGTTTCCAAAGAAAGGGAAGTGTATAATACTCATCGCATGCTGCCGCAGTTTCTTCTTGGTTAAAAAGAAAGTTAGTCCTGGATACTTCTGAGAAACAAATTCCAAATCAGTAGCTGGTCAGGCCAGCTGGTATTCATGGCATAGATATGTAGGAAGAAGGATATAACTGAATGCTGAGAGCACAGTGCTTAGGTAAAATATAATATGTGTGTATTTATTAGGCTGCAATCCTCACTTCTGGGTCTTCCTCACATTTTTAATCTGGACGGAGACTCTTAGCTCCTTCCTATGTCTTCCTCACTCCATCTTGAGATTATTAGAGCTAGGTTTTACTATGGAAACAATACCGCTAATGGTTGATCTGGTGGCTCTTGGTTAAAATCGGTAAGCAGAGGCATCCACGCCTGGCAATAAACCCATGCATTTTGCTGAGATCCAGGCCATCCCCACTTTGGTTGCAGAATTGGGGAGGGAGAGACATGCTCCCCGTCTGCTCATCACCTTGCTTCCATTCCCAATCCTGGCAATAAGAAATGTCTGTCTGAGTGGCAGCTGCCCAGAATATTAAATCTGTCCCTTTATGCCTGGTGTCCATCCATTTCCTCCTGGGGCAAGAAGATATGGGGCCTCAGACACTGTCTATGGGGTGTTGTGGGGAGAAGGCTGGTCCACAACAGTTCTGACCTCTGATTTAAATTGTTGAAAGTTAGTGTAACAGGAAGAAGCTAAGATCAATGTAGAGATGTTATTAACNTTGGGGGCAATATGCTGACTCTCTGTAAACCGCTTAGAGAGGGCTGAAAGCCCTATGAAGCGGTATATAAGTCTACTGCTATTGCTATTGCTATTGCTTAGACGAGGCATGACCACCTGTGACTGATTGCACTATTTGTCTCCTGACATGTATGTCACTTTTCACTCACCCTTCCCTGTGTGTTTTTTGCAACCTAAAGAAAGTTGCAAAAATAGAAAACATATTGGGCCGTGGTGAGTTATCTTAGATAATTGGTTGGGTTGCTGGATGGTTTTGAAACCATCGTCTTCCTTCCTTCCTTCCTTCCTTCCTTCCTTCCTTCCTTCCTTCCTTCCTTTCTAAAGATGATCTCCTGGGCATGATTGTCTCATTCAGCTTGCACCACCTCAATGAATCTGATCGGATCATGCTTTTAACAAGGAGATTGAGTAGAAAATTATAGAGGGGAGACATTCAGTTCTTTTGGAAATGCTTGAAAGATCACTTGAACCTAAACTTTGATTCCTTTTCCCACTTCTTCTGTAGAAGAGACATACCAACAACTAGCCAGAGAGACCTTGGAGGAGTTAGACTGGTGTCTTGACCAGTTAGAGGCCATTCAGACGTATCGCTCTGTCAGTGAGATGGCATCTAACAAGGTAAGTGTTTAGCAAATGCAGCCGATGCACTATGGTATCCAGGATGATGTCAATATTTTGTCTGTTATTAGTTCCACCCCAAACATCTGTCAACTTTGAAATGTATACAGCCCATATTTGTCTTCTCTATAATAGTTTTATTCTCTACATGACAGCATATTTTATATAGTATGCATCGTATTTGTGTCGCAAAGCCAAAACATTGCAACATGGAATGCCTGCTTGACCCATATCGTCCTCTGAAATATTTCAGCCCCTTTGACTTGTTGTTATGCTTTGTTCTCCAGCAATCAGTCAGCATCCATGGAAGCCAAGTTCATGTAGTCACATCTTAGAGGATCCCTTTTTTCAGGTTTCCACTCCAAACATTTGCATACACCCTCAAAATCACCTTAAACTTGTTGATGTTGTGTTTGGATGATTTGTTTTAGCTATGTACATAGCTATGAGCATCAGGAAGACAGGAAAATGCAAAAGATATTTGTCTGGAAGGATAATAGTGCTTTCGACCCCTCATTGTTGTTTCCAAAAACATTTGTAGGCTCTGGTTGCCTTGAAAACAGGAATTGCAGAAGTGTAGTGATTTGTTCTTTATCATTTGAAAATAGAATTTATGGATTAAAAAAAAATCATACTCTTAAGTGGAGTGAATAGCCATTGTTGGTTCATCTTCTGGAAATTACCACTATTTTTTAAGAAAATCTTTCTAGATGTCTCTCTGAGGACTTGTAAGATAGTTTAAAGTGGATGAACAGTGGCCACAGAATTGTAATTTTTTAAATGATATTGCACGCTAATTCATTTTTATTTTAATGAAAGTGAATTAAATAAAGGTATCCTTTGTTCTGTCAGCATTCTCTTTTGGGTCATTAGCAAATTCCAAGTAACGTCCATGGACTTTACCTGGAGAAGATTTGTAGTCCTAATGCACAATTCTGATGTGAAGTATATCACTTACTCTGAAGCAACTTGTTTTTCTTCTAGGGAAAAAAAAAGAATTGGAAGACCATGTTTATTTTGGATTTTCATGTTGAAGTTAAATAAGTTTCCCCAGAATGTGTTTGCAGGTTCCACCACAAAACCACGCCCGACTAAACTGCGTCGCTGACGTCATCAACAGGGCGACAACAGCGCGGAGATAGAAGCACGCTGTAAACCCTAAACCTAAAATTAACACCTAAACCTAACCCCCCTAAACTTAATCCTAAACCTAACCCTAAACCTAAGCCTAAACCTAACACTTAACCTAACCCTAAACCTAACCCTAAAGCTAACACTTAACCTAACCCTAATCCT